TCCCAATTTGACAAAATATCTCAATTAAAATGAAAGCTTGAGTTCATCAAAAAGTCATTTTATTATAATTTTACACCTTTTCAAGTTTGTTCAAGACAACTCTTTGCTTCTCCTCTCTAAGTATATAAATGCAACCTAACAACCTTAACCAAACCGATAAAGTGTTAAACATTTGCAATTCCTACGTGGATAAATCTCAGCCGTTTAATTCAGTCTCGCTTTTCCGACGTCGTTTCGAATGATACGATGACACGTGTCGATGGTTTTAATTCTCACCGTTGGATTATATTCTTCCACGTGGCATTCATCGTACAGAGCAAAGTCAATGCACAATCGGGTCAAGCTCCGTCGCCGAAGACCTCCGCCTTCGCCGTTCTCATCACCGTCTTCTTCTTGATCGGCTTACTCTCCGTCTGTATCCGCCACTGCTCTCGCTCTAATCCCAGATCCTCCACCAGATACTACCGTCACCATCGAGCTCACGGCGACTGTTCACGGCGAGGCGGACTCGACGACGCCGTCGTCGAGAGCTTCCCTGTTTTCTCTTACTCCTCCGTAAAGGAATCGAAGATCGGATCCGGCGATTTGGAATGTGCGATTTGTCTCAACGAATTGGAAGATCGAGAAACAGTTCGGTTGCTTCCGATCTGTAACCATCTCTTCCACATCGATTGCATCGACGCTTGGCTTTATTCACACGCGACTTGCCCTGTTTGCAGATCAGATCTCACGGCGAAATGCGAGGAAAATGATACAGAGACTCGATCTCCGATTAGAGATCAAGTCGCGATTGACATTAGTACGGAGGATTCGGAGAAAAGCCACCACCGTGTACGGCTGGGTTTTGAAATCGCCGGTAAGTTTCCACGGTCGAACTCGACTGGTCATTCGATTGGTCGATTCGGTGATTGTACGGAGAGGTTTACTCTCCGGTTGCCGGACGATGTGAAGAGAAGAATCATGGCGGCGAAAGGACGGAGGCTGAAACGAGCGAGAAGCTTCGACGGTGTTTTGACGGCGGAAGGAAGAGGCGAAGAAAGCAGTTACACAGTCGGGTCGGGTGAGAAATCGGATCGGGTCAAATGGGTGGATCGGTTGGGTTTGTTTGTTACAAAGTCAAACTCAGGTTCCGTTAGATCACAGAAATCTAACGGCGAACCGTTAAAGTGGTGAATATATATTTTTGTTAATGCGAGTGGTAAATTAAATAGTTGATGAATATTCAGTTTTTTGTTTGTATATACAGAATTGGGTGGATCCAAGCTTGTTTAGAGCATAAGTAGTGGTGATACAATGTGGTATCATTAAATATAAAATTATTAAAATTTGAGTAAAAAGAAGAAAGA